CCAAATATGACATGTTCTCACTGCAATGCTCAACTTCGGAAAGAAGAAAAAAGATTTAAAAATTGTTGTAACAAACGCAAGTCGTGTATCCATCGTCTCAAATCTATCCCCCACCATCTTATGGCGCTGTTTGAAACTACGAAATTCATTTCTGCTCAAAGAGGGTACAACGGGCTTTTCGGATTCACTGCATTAGGCGCAGGTGGTATTCAAAAAAAGGCATGGACTGAACCGCCAGCCCCTTCAATGCTCACCTTGCATGGACGTGCTTACCACCGCATATTCGACCTCCAACCACATTATGAGAACTATTCCGTGCCGAACAACTCGAGGTTTTGCATATACGATTCTGAATTCACACACAACACTTCACCCCTTAAATTAGACGCAAACATCGCGACAACTTTACGAACGCATGTGCACAATAACATTCCGTGGGCACGACAATACCGATCTGCTGTAGCAGTATTCATCAACCTAACGCCTACCAAGCTGAATCCGCGGACCCTGCGTACATTGAGTTCGCTGAAGTAAGCCGAACAAACGACGGACCCGTTGTAGGTGAAAAAGGTTCAGCACCGGAAATTGCAGCTTTAGCCTTCACATCAGGTCAGGAAAACAGCGGATCACGTGCTGTAGTAACTTATTCACGTGACAGTCCGGACGACAAGCCTAGGTTCCTACCCCTGTGGAGTGCAGCGTACAAACCTCTTCAGTTTCCGATGCTAATGCTCCACGGCTACGTTCTTACCGGCGCAAGAATAGAGAGGCGACCGTAGCTTACATCTCTTTTTCGTCCGCACCGGGCGAAGCTAGACAAAAATTCACGTACACGCGACTCTTTTGGCTTCATGATACAACGGGAACGGCACATTTCTCAAATACAACGCGAACATGTTCATTCATACCCTTCATTCGATCAACCTGCGGCTTCATGCCCTTGGTATGCTGTGCACAGCCTTCACACCTTCCCTTCAAGCCTACTACTGAGGACGACGGCGCCTCTGCGCCCGAAGTCCGGAGCCCTTGTATATATGACATGATGCGACCCCCTTCTTGTCATAAGAAGATTATTCTTTTCTTGAAGAAAGAGTTACAGCATGGCTACTTAAGAACCTGTAGTTTTGGCTGAGGCTGGGGTTCTTAGTGCCTAGGGCTATGCCACAAATGGCCGCTATATGGGTTCTAGTGTGGGGGTTCTTCACCGAGTTCGCAAATGGTGCTGAAAGACATTCTTACATAGATTTTCAGTTGTTCGATGCTGTGCGGGCGCTACTAGAAGCTGCTGTACTTTGTGTAAATGTACAGACTATCGTAGGTCAGATGACCTCTCGGAGATCTACATACCTTCGGGGTGTTGCCACAGATAGAGTCAGCGGACGGTTGACGCTGAACCCGCGTGCAAGTACGACAGATCTCCGGCAGGTCTTGTGAGGTGGCAATTCATTGTGTGGGATCCGGCGAGAGCAACCAAAATGCGGATGAAATTGATGGGTGGTGTGTCATTCATTCCTGATGTTCTTGGAAAATCAATCCTCTTTCTCGTGAAAGAAGTAGGTTGAGAGCTGGGTGTTTTTATTTTAGCCCCCGAAACTATCAACAACCACCCCGACCAAAGTGAGTGTTGGAATCGGGGATTGTTTCGTGTTTTTTTTTTGTGTGATGTGTTATTGACCAGGCAGCGTACAGTAGTACTGCTGCTGTAGGTGGGTGTGTGCTACGCTACAGTGCACTCTTTACTCTCTATCTACTCTGCAAATACTGCCGCTCTATTCGCGACCTGCAGCAACCAGTGTTGTGTTGCTACTAATATTGTACATGAAAATACCAAACTGTCGGTCAAGGTACCACACCGACACGTTCGAACGAACCGGTGGAGCAAGGCAAAACGACTCTGAATGGCAGCTATCCACAACAACAACACAGACAGTCAACAAGCAGCAGTTAGTGTCATCGAGCGAGTCATCATTCATTGCAAAGTATGTGAGTAAGTGTCATCAAGCGAATCATAACTTGTGACCGAATTCGTGTGTTTTTGTTTGATCGATCGGTACTATTTGTTGGTGGGAGGGGCATGATCCTATACCCCAGGCACTTAACAGGGGTTATTTGGTCTGCGCCAACATGACGAAATTCGGGGTATTTTTTGTTTGATGTGTGCCCCTCCACAAAAACATTTTCGCCATGAATTGTTCATTGGCATGGAATGATGCATATTGTTGCATACATGTATTTGAATATGTGTACATACCATTTATGTATGTGTGTATGGACAGTACTCTAGGTTGATGCATATGTATTAGGGAAAATAAGTACACACACAGAAAAAACTACCCATCGAGATGTAGTTGTTGCTTGAATAGTACGGGCCATATATGTAATTCAATACAACCACAACCAACTAACTACATATGAAAAACAGAGTAGAGAAAATAAAATAGTACCGTTCGAGATTACCACCACCGACTCCACACACTGGGTCCATTGCAAATTGCAGTAACTGTTCCCTACGGCTTGCCTCTCCAACTGGAGAACTCCGATTGCCTCGCTAACTGGAGAGCTCCGATCTTACAGCTTCAATGACAAGATGGCGAATCAAACCTATCGGCGGACAGGGAAGGGCATGGGTGCAATCCTTTCGCATTTGGGGAGCCCCCTTGCCTCACGCTCAAGTCATCATGCATGCTGTTTGCCAAGCACTTGCTTGCCAGTACCTCCACAATACCACCAAGCGAACAGCAAGGAAGCGCGCCATCCACAAATCCACAGCGACAACAATGTCGACATCAGGGTGCGGGCGTGCTTGGTTTGGAGGAGGATTTATTGGTAGATCCAAACGCTGGCGCATAATTTTTGCTCCCTTTGCATGCGGTTTTCTAGATTACCAAAGTCCGTTGAATGTGTCGCTTTTTGACATCTGCATGCGTGCATGACTTCCCTCGGAGTTTCGCCGGGTAGTGCTGTGTGCTGGTGTGCATGAATCAGACTTCCGTGCTTGGCCCTCTTGCATGCTCTCTTCAGATCTGGTGGCGCGACGTCAGCTCTGGACAAGGGTCGTTGGGATCGGCTGGTTTTCGGGGAGGTACGCATATGTAGGCTTGTACATGGTACAGTCAAAGGCTGCCACACGGCGTGTGCACACATCATTTCAACTGAACAGCGGGTCGTTTGAGTGCCTTGTGGCGATCCTTCTTCTTCACGGCTGCTGTTGAACTATATACAGCAGTATTACTACAGCAGCGTTGTACTTCTTGTGTTGAGTCTCTTGAAGCGATGTTTTCGCTCAGCACATTACCTTGCCGTTTCGTTGAAATAACAGTCTACAGCAGTACATACAGGTAAATACAAACCACATGGGTGACTACAATGGGTACAGCAGTCGAACGATCGAGGTCGTATAGTATGGTGTATTCCAAGAGGTTGCCACACGTGTACACATATGATTTCAAAGATGGAGTGTTGTACACGCGATCCATGCTACATGTACTTCGTAGTTTTACCACATGGTCTATGCATACAGATCGGACGAGAACATCACACCATCATGGTAGACATTCTCTGATGATAAGACTTACCGACACCATGTGAGTACGTATTTTCGGCGCTGTTGTTGTCATGGCAGTCCAACGAACGTTTTCTCGTGCCATATCTATCCGTACGAAAACAGGGACTTGGGTTGAGTCAAACCTTCCGTCCTGTCTTACATACTCCCATATTAAAGTAGAAAGTAGTATGCATACATGCATATGGTACAAATCACTAAGAGATTATTTACCCGTTCGAGACTGCCTCAGTCTAAGGGGTATGTTGAAGCCCTCACCTCCGTTCTATCTGCAAATCATTGTTTGAGACAGAGAGTAACGACGGTGTTCAGAATGTCTGTGATGCTCTAAGCGCCGCCCATATTCTCCAACCAAGCTTGCAACAGGCATGCGATGTGTTCCTGAAGAGACAATCCCCTGACATGAAGGATTCAGTTGACAACCCCCCGGACGGGTTTGTATCTCGAGCGGGTAGTTTCTTATCATACTTTCAAATGATAGTGTCATGTTCAAACCGGCAACAACACCAGAGTATGTTCGGCAACGCTTCGCCTGCGGCAAGCGGTGAATTCTTGTTGGGCACCGGTACTTGTGGGGCGATGGAATAACAGGCGATAAATTCCTAGGCGCCGATGGCAAAACCAGTGCCAGCGGTAAAGACTAATGAGCGTACCACTTTTTTTGGTTTTGGCGGTGAGCGGTAATGAGCGGCTGCAGCATACGGTCAGGCCACAACCCGCGGGTAAAGTGCAGAAAAAGGACCCCGTGGTAGGCCGAAATAATTTCAACCAGGCGTATACCACCATTTTATGTTTTCCGGAAGTATTGTGGGGGGCGCATTGGGGGATTGCGATGTTTTAGATGGATTTTTTTTTTTTTCTTGGCGCACGGACAATTTCTTGACAAAAAAACAACCCCGACGAAACTCGTCCCGTTGATGCCACAACTACCACATCCAGAAGCTGCGTGCTCATCAGAACGAATCAACGCGCCTAAGGCTCACTCACCTGGTGAGTAGCAGCGCCAGTTTATTTACTTCTCAACGTTAACTAGGTCGGCAGATTTTGCTTCATTCTTCGTCGGATTGCAACCTCCAACGACTGTGCCTCGTAGGCCATGGGCGATGGACACCTGCTTTTCGTTGCCCATCCAGCCTTCCGCTCACGCAACTCTCCACGTTCTCGATCAGCTCTCTCGTGCCCACGCTTGCATCGAAGGTTGAACTCGCCGCCTGTCGGCATATGTGGAGTGCAGTCGTCTGGACTTGAGCACCGCTCACCGCCGGTGTGAGCGGTAAGCGCTCCCTTCTTTTTGTGTTCTGTTTGCATTAACAACAGAAATACCTCGACTCCCGCTTGTCCCACTCGCTACGTGTGTTGCCTTTCCCGGCGTATGTAGGTCACCGCGAGCGAGAGCCGGCCGTCGAAGGCGGACGTTCTCGCATCACTGGACGAAGCCATGTCGGAGCTCTGCCGCATGACGATCGGAGGCCAAAACGTCCCGGCCGTAGAACTGAAGGACCGCGTCGACCAAGCGGTTGCCGCCCTGGAGCAACTGTCCCTAGGGGGGGATGGGCCCCGCCAGGCAGCACCCGCACAAGACCTCAGGGTGTTGACCCTGCTGGAGAAGGTAACCCTCTCCGGCCCCGGAGAGAGTGGGAACCTCGAAGAGGTAGCGACTGTCCTGTCGGCTGCCTTGTTCAAGTTGTCGCTTGGCGCCGACCCAGGCTGCAAGAGAGACGACGAGAAAGAAGAGATGGAGGACAAGACACAGCACCGCACCCAGATTTCTGGGCAAATGTATGGGTGGGACTCTGCGAAGCATCTGCCCAGCAGGAGGGTGAGTGCGGGCTTCATTGCTATTGTAGAAGCTTGGGGCTCGTCGCGGGATGTCCGAGCGCTTGGTGCACCCTGTCGATTTTCCTCTGCTGCTTCTTGTCGCTGTCGCTATGAGGGTGCATAGGTTTTGCCAGAAACATCTTCACACAAGTTCCCACCTTGAGCTGCAAACAAGCACATGAAGCACATTGAGATACGGTAAATCCGAACATCCCTCTGTCACCTTGTTGTGACCGTTTGTTTTTCTCTCCGCTGCCTCCTCGTTTATCCCACCGTGTTCTCTGTCCGGACAGCCGACTCTCGGGGGGCTCTGCCTCCCGTAAACGACGGCGGCAGTGACGGTGGTGGCAGTGACGGCCGTGACAGCGACTGCAAGTAGAGGGTTATACATTTCCCTGTTGCCGTCCCGTGCCTCTTGTTTCAGTCTGGATTGCGTGCGTTTGCTCGGGCGGGTACAGGAGTGTGCTGCTTGCGTCCTGCTCTGTTTCATTGGGCCCTATGTTCCCGTGTTCTTGGGGGAGCTACTGCAGCAGTACAGCACAGTGCATGCGTAAAGTACAAAGCATGTCGGTATAAGCGCCTCGGTTGTTTCAACAGCTCCACCGTCAAACAAATGGGGAAGCATTGTAATATATGTCCGTTGCCAACTGTTGTCCAGGCGTTGCGACCGTGGCAAGCCCAGGTCTACATGTGCAACAGATCAACAACAGCGCTACAATTTTGTTTTAGATGCGATTCTTACAAGTCGTGGTGTACCGAGCGAAGTAATGTTTTTTAAGTGTAAATTACAGAGTACTCAGGGTAGCATCTAGACAACAAGTTCACACAAAGCGAGTGGGGGCCATACAGAAACTCCAAAGTTGCTGTACGGTACGCAAAGCTTTTGGTGCGTAGCATGTGGTCCTGTGTGCGTTCTGTCGTGGCGTGACTCCAAGTTTTAGTTGTGACGTATTGGCTATTCGTTGAAGGGTCCTCCCTTTTTGTTTTGGCGTGCTTATCTTTCTGTGTATCCTGTGGGGCTTTCAAAATTGTCCTTGAAGCGGTTTTGTCGGAGGCCGTCAGTCAGTCGTGCATGTGTTATGTGTGTGTTTTTTTTAAAATATCCTCAACCGCGGTAAATCTGTGCTGACAAATGTAAAGATGTGTCAGTCGCAGTGTATGTGTACAACGCATGGCATGCGTCTTTACGTGGTGTGCCAACCAAACGGCCTTGGAAAATTTCTTGTTGTTTCGAGTGTGTCGAGTTTGTTTTTGCTTCTGAAGAGAAACGATTTACAGATGTGTTAATTCTGTAAGTTCTGCGCGATCATTTTTACTTTGATTTTGTGTACTTCCGTGCGTTGCGACGGGTTCATCGAACACTTCATTTGTTTATTTTCATGCGCATCGCGCTTCTTGGGGATTTTTTCCGGGTCCAATATTTTTTCCGGTCTGTGATTTCTAGAGGGGTGTGCCATTGTTTTGATAGTTGATTTGTGACCATATAAGACGTCCGCGTCAGCATGGCCAATACGAATATTTGAAGGTAGTGGGAGGAGAATTAAAATGTTTTTGATATCAAAAAGTGCACAGCGGTGTGTTGCCTGTTGCCATTGAGAAAAGCGCCTAGCAACTCGAGTTGAACTGCATTCGCTGTGCCCCTGCCGGTACACTGTTGAAATGAAGCAATTGCAGGCATCGTGTTTTGCAGCACCCTGGTTGGCCAACTGTTTTGAGCAAATGCACGTGTAGCACCGACTGAGAGCCTTTCGTGGCAACTGTACAGTGTTGGACTGCCGTGTATCTGTGTGGTTGTGCTCGATGTGCCCATCGTGATGCTTTGTTGGAGGGGGAAGGTGAAAAATGTGTTGTTTCAGTGCGTGGGTGAGCGGGGGGAGGATAGCCCCGTCGATCGAAGGACAGCACATGTAAAACAACAACACCGATTGTCGTCGTCGTTTGTCGTTTGTGAACAGCAGTTGGAGTGGGGTGTGTCTATCTTTGCTGTGGTGATGCTAGGAGAGGACGTCAGAATCGAGGGAGGGAGAGGGGGCGTGCGTGGGCGTGAGACTACGCTTCGGGGACCGCCAATGAAGCGACGTATGAGTATTGCGGTGGTTGTATTCTACACGTGGATGGCAATGGCCCCACCAAGGAGGTGCAGTGAACTGCCTGCAGCAATAGAGGCGTTTGCTTCAAACTTGTTTGGCGTTGCGTTCTGTTGTCGCCTCTGATGTTGTTGTCGAGGAATGGCGACGATGCGAGAAATGATGGACTGTGCGACTCCAAGAGTCGAGGACGGGTTTAGAGTGCGTTGGCCGCGTGCGTGCGCTTGGGCTATGGTGACCGGCAATGACGTGGCCCACGCCGAGCTACCATCAGCTTTGGGAGCTGCGAACGCCTGTGTCTTGTGGCGCGTGCCGTCGCGCTGCTATACAGGGGTGAACTTGTGGGGGGGGGGGAAACATTATTCGCAGCATGAACCAAGATGTTCTCTGGGTACACCACCCGACATAATGTTGGAAATCGTGGAAGAAAGCATGGAAGACCAGGACCACCGAGAGAGGCGTCCGTGTTGCTCTTCACTTTCCCTCTTGCCGCAAGTCGCGCAGACTATTTCCAGACGTGTGGCTCGGGGCACATTCACGCGCATTCCTAGATGACGCAGACGGTACTTTGGGGACACTCCGGTAGCGAAAATCCCCACGAACTTGTCAAACCACCATTCATTCTCCTTTCGCCCAAACATTTGGTGGGCAACGATATTTACGACTTCGTGGAGAAAATCGAACACACACACATACTTACATACTTACATCTCCGCCCTCAACCACCCTTGCACACGCAGTACCTCTCTACCCCTATCGCCCGCGTCATACCGGACAATCCCTGGAACAAAAGGAGGCGTGTCGATTGCAAAACGTCTCCCGTCGAAAGAGATCCCGCCGGCCGCCCCGAAACATCACTGGGCGGGCACCATTCAAGTGCAGCTCGCCCAACGACTACCGATCGGTACGTAACACCAACAAAACGGACTGCAGAGCAAATCATGCGCACCGAGGGAGAGACATCTGCCACACCAAAATGCCCTTCGAATAATACCCGTTCCGCCATGCATTCACCCGCCATTCAAAGCGCCCTACGAGACGAACAACGGCCTTTCGTGAACCACACACGAAACATGAAATCAAATCATGCCCGGGCCTCTATAAAAAAACTCAGACGTGCCATCTACCCCACGAAAAACAGATCAAAGAGCCTGCGCCAACCCACCGCTGGTGGCGGTCATCTCTTGTACAGCGATGTCGGGCGTACGTAGCCCGGATAGGTCATGACCCCCGAGATCCCGTGCACGACCCCGTTCACAGCGTTGAGGTCCGGCAGCACAACCTCGGCAGTGAAAGCCCCAAGAAACAGACCACCACCGCCCCCCTTGTGTTGTTGCCCTACGCCGTCAGGCCCCACAAAAACACGTACGCCGCCGCCGCCGCCGCCGCCTGCCGAAGCGCCACTACCACCGTCGTTATCGGTGGCGGCACCGGCAGCCGCAATCTGAACAGAAAGCATTCTGGCCCGCTCGCGGTCGCTGCTCCCTTCGTGATCACCATCATCTTCGTGGTCGAGCAGCGTCCACAGCCGGGGACCCGACACGAACCGGTCCCCGGAAAGCGCGGACCGTTCCTCGGCGGTGGCGTTCGCAAGGGACGGCGTGAATAGTCTACTTGCCGTGGTCGTCGTCGCCGTCCCAAGAGCCACGTGGAAGCGGACGAGCTTCGTCAGGCTCTCCGTGTGGGAGGCGATGGTCATGAGCCCGGCCACTTGCTCCAGCGCAGAATCCACCGGAGCGAACACCGTGAAAGGTCCGGCGGTCGGGTCTGAAAGGAGCTCGGCCAGGCCCGTCTGAGGCAAGAGGACGGACGAGGCGGGCGCGCCGGCGGCGGGCGTTGCGGGAGTTAAAACGAAGAATTTGTTTGTGCTTATGGGTAAAAACGAACAGAAAGAATGGGTGCACGGTTGCGATAGAATTGAGCGCGTTGTTGCGGTCGCCCCACAGGAGAATGTGCTGGTCTTGTCCTGTGGGGGGCGTGTACAAGTTGCAGCGCTTTACGTACAACCCGAAATAGCAAGCGCGCCCCTATCCGATTCGCCCTCGTTACGCTGAACAACCACCCACCAGCTCGACCCAGTCTGCCCACCCCGTAAGCTGCGGGTGCGAGGAGAGAAGCGAGAACACGTCCGGGGCAGGGACGCGCAGCGGCTCCGAAATCTGGTGGATCCGTCCGTTGAGGGCCGCCATTCCTACGTCGGGCCGGAGTACCTGTGCGGCAGCGGGAGTGTGCACGCGGCGTCATGCGACACACAGCAGGAAGGGTTATTGGAGAGAGATGGGGCTTGCGATCTTTCAGAACAGGAGAGGGACGGAAGCTTGTATGGAAGACACCATAGGGTGACTCGAGTTTGGCAACATAAATACTCCAATAGCAACATCAACGATCACATCAATAACAACAGCAACCGACAACCAATAGACAACACCACCACCGCCAACACCAACAACAGAACAGGCAATCGACAACAGAAACAAGGGGCAACCCGGGAGAGAACATCGATCGCATCGCAATCCCACCACCACCGTCTCACCTCCGCCTGGTTCACGTTCAGGCCCGACATGTTCGTCGCCGCCGCCGCAGGCGAGTAGAACGGGTTCCCAAGGTTCTCAGAGTTGTTGAAAAGGTGCACGTCCTCACCCAACAACGTTTCGAGCTCGACCGAGTCGATCGAAGCCACCGAAAGTCTGCTGCTGCTGCTGCTGCTGCTGCTGCTGCTCTGAGGGGCTCCAAACAGTTGGTCGCCAATCAGAGTTTGATATCTGGCGGCCAGGCGTCACAAAACGAAGGGAGGGCGAAGCCGGCGAGAGAGGTGGTGAAGGGGCGTAACTCACTTGCTTTTTGACCCAGAACATCAGGGTAGACGGACATGGGTAACCAGGGGGGGGGGGGGGGCGTTCTTGGTACTGGTAGCTGCCTGCCCCCATCACAAAACATCAGTCGATCACTCACGTATTTCCAGACTGGGAGGTTGGGAGTAATCCCGCTCTTGACATGAGACAACCGGTGGGGGGATAGCTAGGGGCAGATTTGCTTCAAACAGACACGAAGGGCTTGGTCCAGTGACGGAGGACGCGGCTGCAGAATCAGTGGCTTGTGTATCATCTCAGGCCGAAATAACACCGGCAGCCACATGACACCGCGCCGAAAAGCCCGTTTTCGTTACATAGAATGATGCCGTAAGGCGGACGTAGTTGGGCAGATTCTGTAGGCTTAAGAGGCCCGGACTTGCTACACGCTGCCGATGCCTTACATACGGGTCGGAACTCTGCATGCGGCAGCCAGTACATACAACGTGCATATTCTCCTTCCCCGAACGCGGTTTTCGTGCATCAACCAAAAGTAACAGCACCCAATAAAACATATATCATCCGTTGCCGCTCGTACCTTAGCGTGTCCGCCGAAATGCCGGCCCCGTTATCCCGGACCCACCAGGAGGCGCCGAACGACGGGGAGGAGGCGTGTTTTTCTCGGGGGTTCCGCCGCATTTTTTCATCGACAGAGGCCACCGCCAGCAGAGTGTGGGGCGCGCGTCCCCGCAGCGCGTCGGCCACTGCCGCCGAATTGCCGACGGCGAGGCCGTCAGCCTCAGCAGCGGCCGTCGCAACTATCGCCTCGTACGTGGCGCGAAAGCCGTACGCGTAGGTCAGCTCGAGGACGTCCGGGACGAGGACGCCGGCCGCGCTCCCCCCGGAGCCGGCGCCACCGCTGCGGCCATAGACGTCATAGGCCCCTCTCGTGTTGTTGCCGTCATCAAAGGCGAGCACGTGCAGGACTCCGTCCGACGCCGGCCTATCCGTCGAGGAGCACGTCTGGAGGTTCACGCGGAGGGTACCACCGGTGCCGTTCGTGCTCGTTCCGGACACCCACCCTTCTCCCGCCCCCCCCACTGTTGCCGCTCTAGACGGAGGCCTGCCGTAAGCGCTAGAAGCTGGGGCGGTGATGAAGGTGGCGGCCACAGGGGCGGTCCCGCCAAGGGCCAGAGTCCGTGTCGGTGGCGAAGATTCGTTGAAATACCTGCAAAAACGAGAGACGAAAAATCGGAATATCGTATCAGATTGTCGGTGAGGCGGGAGGGGCCAGGCCCAGGCTGCGACGATTTGCTTTCGTGCGTGTACTGCCGGACGTCTTGGGAATGGAAGAGTTTGCGCAGACGACAGCACCCCGCTGCGCAATGCTGCAAAGCAGGACGTGGGTGGGGAGCGTTGAAGGAAAACAGTGAAGGCCACGCGCAGAATTCAAACCGGAGAAGGCCCGATTAAACCATCACCCTGAAACGCCACCCGCTATGGTGGCGGCGCCATGTTTTTTTTTATGAAACACAGACAAAAAAAATCTACGTTCCTAGGTACTCCGTACGTTCCTAGCGACTCCTTACGTTCCTACTGACTCCTGGCAAACATGTGCCTTCTCCACGTCAAATCCCTCCACCCACACACCTCCAGGCGACCTACGTGAGCCGCCCCACCCCCTGCTCCGTGCTCTCGCTTACCTCGAGAACAATGCTGCCCCAGGGACAAGGTGATACGCCAGCAGCTCTCGGACCGGGGACCAATCATCGGCGTCCCCTACCCCCCTCTCCCCGGCGGCTTCCTTACCACCTGCGTCACCTACAACCGCCGCCGCCGCCGCCGTCGAGTTCCGGAACAACCAAGGCCGCTCCCTCTCCAGGCGTGCCAGCGCGGCGTTCGTCGGCGCGAACACCGTCAAGAACGGCGCCCGGCTTCCCTCCGACACGCGGTGGCCTCCTCTTCCTCGTCCTCCTCGTCCTCCTCCTCCTCCTCCTCCTCCTCGTTTATCCTTCTGCTTCTGGCTCCCACCGACAACCACCTCCGAATCGCCAAGCGTCAACGTCGCCGGACGAGCGCCGGCAGCGGCGGCGGAGAAAAAGGAGGAGGAGGAGGGCGAAGAAGGAGAAGGCGGGGCCAGGAGGCCGTGCTCTCGCAGAAGCGCCGCGAACCGCGAGAGGGACGGCGTGCCGTCCAGGATCGCCGCCAAGTCCGTCGAAGGGTCCGCGGGGAACATCACTCTGTTGTTGTTTTCCGCCGTGGCAGACAGACACACGGAAGACAAGAAAGCAGAGCAACAAGCGGCCGGTGACAACTGAGACACCAGACGAGGAAGAGCTCACCACATCACGAGCTACGGTTGGGACACGCACACGTGGGGGAGGGAAGATCCCTATCAGGCCGTAGTACCGCCGTGCCATTTTTTTATACCGCGACAACACTAATTCAGCCGATTCATTGATGATTTGCCTGGGCTCGAGATCCGGTTGTGCTCTCTGGTCGTGAACCTTCGCTTCTCAGGTACGCACCACACCGCGCGGTACCGGCGTGCAGGAAGAAGAGGGGGGGGGGAGGGGGGGTACTCTTATGTTTTGCATGCCTTCGCGGTTAGACCATTGACCACGCGTCCTCGAGAGGACGTCGCATTGTTCCCACAGGACCGATCACCGATGGCCAACCGTTCCTTCCTACTTTGCCAAAGGTGGCTCAAAAATGTCTTCCCTCGTCCATCTATCCTGTCGATATCACTTCCCGCCTTTTCAACCCACTTCCTGTGCCCCAGTACGGCTACCGTCTTGGAACAAGAGGGGGGGCAAAAAATACTCGCACACCCACCCAACTGACACGAACCGGCCAAAAGACATATCTCCAAACCATACTGACCCCGTCAAGTGTTAGACTAGTACGGACAGAAGAAGGTACTGGGCAGAGAGAACGGAACGGTTTTTAAAGTTAAGACAACAACAACAACAACAACAACAACAACAACAACAACATTAACGTCCACACACACGCACACACATGTGCATGCGCTTACGCGTGCGGACTAGAACCAAGATCACAACGACCACGACCGCGCGTGAGACGCACACCCGCTCCAGCCCCACCCACCCGTACCAAGCAGACGGCACCACAGAAAAAAGAAGAGTAAGCAACAACAACAACAACAACAACAAAAGTGAACCCGCTGCCTGGAAAAAAAGCACGTACACACGCATGGACAAAAACAACAAACAGACGAAGTCGGAGCGGCTAAATCTGCTTTGGCGTGTCAGCACACCCAAAAACAAATCGATCGTACAGGTGACGACGCCCAGAGGGTGACACTCCAGAAACCGAGAGCACCCGTGCGTTGCGTATGTAGGATGGAGGTTTACCTGTCGACGGCGTGTACGGCGCAGAGGTGTGCGCCGTTGAGGGCGTAGGTGTTGCTGGGCCGCGGCGACGTGCCGCAGTCATGACCCACCCCGGTGCCATCGACGCACTGAAACACCCTGAGAGTTCCACACCGACGACAACGAATGGGTGAGCACGGTGGATTTGTTTGGCGTGCGACGGGACGCCGAAAAGGAGGAAGGGGCTGGGAAGAGGGGTACAGACAACTTATGGTAGGCGGTGGGAAGCGATTGGTTGCGTACGGAGCGTGTTTTCTCTTTCGGCGGTGTTGACAATGGGCAAATCAACACACAACTCGCGAAGGAGTTCCCCATTTCCCCGTACACTTGACAAACGAGCAGAGAGACTTCGATGACGGTCTTGCTCGCCCCCCGCGCTGCTGATTCTCTCACTTTCACCTCTTCCTGTCTCCGTGCGAGCGGTCTTTCGTGCGCCTCTTTCTCCCTAGCCTAGCCGTGACTTTTCCTCGCCTCAACCCCCAACTCTCTTCCCACCTGCTGAGTTAATCCGCTTGTGGCTCTCGTTCTCGGACTCTTGTCGCTCCTGACCGACGGCATGTTTGGCTACCCTACAACCTCTTCCTTTCTTTAACTCTCGCCGCAGACCCGCCCGCGAAGGCCTACATAAGGGGGTACCCACCTCGTAAACTCGGCAACCGGGACGAGGGCAAAGCCCACCCGCAGGAGAGAGAAACCTCCCGCCAAGATGTTTCAAACGGATATCATATTTGGTACCACAACCATGTGAGCTAGGGCGAGAGAGTGCCAATTCAAAGGCGATCCGTCTCGTGTCGCCTGCGCCACCCGATACAATTGTACCCCTCGCTTGCTCTCTGTCGTACGCGACTCTCCCTCACCTACTTCCCTTTGTACCCCGGTACCAAGCATGGCCAGTAACTTGGAAACATCTTGGTAAGAGCTCTCTCTCTCTGTCCCTCTCTCTCTGCTTCTCCGGCAGAGATTGCAAGAAGCCCTCCTACCCCTTTCTCCGTCTCACCTTGCCCCGTCGACGTACACCTCCCTGTCCGCCACGCCGTCCGCCGTCCCCGCCACGGCCGACCGAGT